TCCATCTGTAGAGACAAGACCATATCCTCTGCCTAGCAGCTTTAATACCCTTGGCTTCCAGTTATTAAATCGTTTAACCCAAACATCCAAATTCAAAAATTGCTCAGAAACATTAGTCTTGGGCATATTCAAGAAATGCCTTTTGTCTCTAGTCATCTTTTCTGAAGATTCATTCAAAAACTTTATGGTAAGTAAAGTAAGAGGTAAATATCCTTTTGGGCCATATTTTGTATAGAGTGTCCCACCTTTTAATTTATTTAAAGTTAATTTAAGGGTCCTATGGACCCGTTCGATAATGGCTTGCCCCTGGGGGTTATAGGGGATTCCACGAAGATGAAGGATGTTACAATCCAAAAGAAAAGTCGTAAAACCCTTTGAAGTAAAAGTGGGACCGTTATCAGTTTTCAAAGTATGAGGTAGGCCCATCACTGAAAAAGCGGACAGTAAGCCCTGGATTGCTGCTTTAGTTGACTCAGAAGAGGCAGGAACAGCCCAGATGAAGCCTGAATGGGTGCAACTACAATGAAAAGCAGAGAGGAAGGGGCAAAGAAAAATGGGTAAAATCAGCTTGCCACAATTCATCAGGATGAAGGCCGTGAGGATTAGCTCCTGATGGTGACATCCGTTGATGTAATGGGAAACAGACAGAAAAAGATCGTACAATATCTCGAGCAGCAGATAAAGGAATATGATAGTGGCCATGTAGGCGATTAGCATTGGTATGAAGGAGCTCATGTTCTTCTTTTGGAGAGGAGAAGAGAGCACTTATTAATTTATCAACCTTATTATTTCCAGCTGCTAAAGGTCCAGGAAGACCTGAGTGAGCACAGATATGTTTAATATAGAAAGGGCATGAACATGATTGTATGAGAGTCTGAACAGACAGAAACAATTGAGTCAATTCCAAATCTGAAGAAGAAAGCAGAGCTGTGACAAAATTAGGAAACATGGAGGCAATGTATAATGAATCTGTAAGTATATTAAAAGGGGAAGATTCATAGTCTAGTAGAAGATATAAAGCATAAAGTTTAGCTCTCTGAACAGAGGAAAAAGGACTTTTTACTCGTTTCATCCAGTGAGGACCACTATTCCAGAATATCCTTGTTTACTTCCATCTATGTAGTAGGTAGGTGCTTCTGGAATAGGGGTTTCAGAAATGATGGAATTGACAACAAAAGGAATTGTTTTCAGAAAGTCCCAAAGTTTACCTTCAGGCAAATTTGGAAGTAAAGTTCCTTGAAAATCAGAAAAGGCAATCTGTATCATGATATTATTTTGTATTGCTGCATTAAATTCTGTTTTTGAAATGGGGATATATATACCATCAGGATCATATCTAGTGAGTGCTTGTATACGAGCACGACCCTGATGAACAATAGTGCCAATAAGCTCAAGATAAGAGACAATTTTTTTTGGCCTGTTTTGAATGGAGATATATCCATTCTATTGGGGGATTTGCTTGTGATATAACAGCAGTAGGAGATCTAATAGTGGGAAAAACATATAGAAAAATTGGGAGAGTAGGTTGGATACGATGAACGAAGGCGTCAGCAATATGTTTTTCTATTAATTCTAGTTCTCTTTTTGCCTCAGAGGTCAGATGGCAAGAACTATTTAAGTCTGGAGGTCCTTTTAAGTTTTAAAAAGATTTTGCAAAGCATATGTGGGAATGCCCAGGGAGGGTCGCAACCAATTAATGTTGCCCAACAATTTCTGAAAATCATTTAAAGTCTCCATGAAATCCATTCTAATGGACATTTTATGTGGTTTTACTTTGTTTTTTGTTAAAAGATAGCCCAAATAATTAAAAGGCTCTATACATTGGATTTTTTCTTCTGATACGATTAAGCCATGACTTTGTAATTGCTGAACAGTGTCTGAAAAAATTTTGTCTAATTGGAGCGGCGAAGCATTGGCCAACAGAATATCATCCATATAGTGGATAATATAAATGTTAGGGTATGTGTCCCTCACGGGCTGCAAAGTCTGGGTGACAAGATATTGGCCGATGGTGGGGGAATTTTTCATACCTTGAGGTAAAACTTTCCAATGATATCTCTGAACAGGATGAATATTATTTGTCGTGGGAATAGAAAAGGCAAAATGTTGTCTATTTTCCTCATGAAGAGGCAGTGTAAAAAAGCAGTCTTGAAGATCCATAATGATAACAGACCAATTTTTTGGAATCATAGCAGGATTTGGAAGACCAGGCCGTACTGCTCCCATGGTTACCATGGTGTCATTAATAGTGCGCAGGTCAATAAGCACTCTCCATTTACCTGACTTCTTTTTAATAATAAATACAGGAGAATTCCATGGAGAAAAAGAAGGTTCAATTCTCCCATAATTCAATTGTTCCTTCACGAAATCCTTTAAAGCCGCTAATTTTACTGTAGTCAGGGGCCACTGGGCAGTCCACACAGGTGCATCAGATCTCCACTGTGGGCGTAGCGGCGATAACTGGCGGTAACTCAGTGGCCCCGATCAAAAAGGTTCATTAAGTACAAGTCTTGCTTTAGTTTGTTGTAAGAAATCTTGGCCCCAAAGATTAATAGGAACTTCAGTGATATAGGGTTTTATATAAACTGTAATTTGGTCTGGACCATGAGCTTGTAAATAGGAAACACTTTCGAAAGTGGTTAAGGAATTAGCTTCTCTTACACCAATTATTCTATTAGAGGCCGGTCGCGGGGGCCATTCTGGGGGCCATTTGGAGCGGCGTACAATGGAGATATTCGCTCCAGTGTCTAGCATGCCCTCAAAATTTTTTCCCCAAATATTAAGTCGTAATAAAGGTTTTTTAAGTTCATGTAATAAAGTAGTTAATCCTGCAGTAATGTTAGTGCTACTGAAACCCCCCGTTGTGGCAGTGGTAGAAGTCTTTTGTGGTTTTATATATGGTAGAAGAAGTAACTGAGCAAACCTGTCACCTTTCTGCAAATGTAAATTCCGGGTGACTTGAACCATTAGTGAAATTTCCCCTACATAACCCTCATCAATAACTCCAGTCATAACTGTGAGCCCTTGCATGGTACAACTGCTTCGAACCTAAAATTAGTCCCACGGTTTGAGGGGGTATCGGGCGGTAATACCCAGTGTTCATTTTATAAGGGGAATTTATCATCAAAAGTTCCATATCTTTAGGACAAGGAATATCAACATAAGCACTATGTTGCATAGCTGCCTGCAACTGAAGAATATTATGAGGATTCCCCTCTTTGTGTGCGGGGCTGAAGGGTAGCCCCGTATTTAGTTTCCTGATTGACAGTCCTTTTTTTGCAATAGTAGATTCCCCGCTTTGTCATATTTCGACTTGCATTCATTTAGCCAATGATTCCCCTTTTTACATCGCGGGCAAGGCCCGGGAGGTTTCCCTTTCTCTTTGAAATTCATAGGAGGAGGAGGTTGCCCTGGTCTAGTGGGGAGGTGGCACTGCTTCTTCAAATGGCCGGGCTTCCTACAATTGAAACGCTTCAAATTCATAGCCTTTTGTGCAGCGAGAGTTTCCATGGTTGCAACTGTAGCTCTATGCTGAATGGAACCAATGTTTCGACAGACTTTCATATAATCCATAATAGATCCGGTTTCTCGAATTGGTCGGATCACATTCTGACAGTCCTCATTAGCATTTTCAAATGCTAACTGTTTTAGCAACATTTGCTGCAGATTAGCATCCTTAATGGATTTATCTATAGCGTCTTTAAGCTTTCCTAGAAATTGAGCATATTCTTCCCGTGGCCCTGGAAATATTTTGACGAAAGACCCATCAGATAGAGCACTGTCAACCTTTGCCCAGGCATGCAAGGCAACCTCCTTTATCCAATATGCCATGGGTGGGGCAGTATTTTGTAATTGAGCCCCCACCTCAACCATAGTGCCGGTTCCTGTTAAAATGTCAAAAGTGAGCTGAGCAGGAATTTTGTGACTTTGTTGTTCCTGTAAAATTTCTTTTGCTTCATCATTAACCCACATTTGCCATTGCAACAATTGTTGAGGAGCCAAAACCATTTTATCCACCGCCGCAAAGTCGGCGGGGAGCCAATGATCCGCCCAGTTCCGAAGGAATTCAAGACAGTACGGAGAAGTGGGCCCATGAAGAGTGCATGCTTTTTTGAAAGCAGAAACTAAAGTAAAATTAGCAGAGTTCCAGGTAACATGACCTGGTTGTGGTTGGTTAAATACGATGGGGAATGCGCGTTTAATTAGGTCCCCTGGTGGCAAAGCATCAAGGCAAACTTTCGAAGGGAGCGTTAGAGCAGGAGCGGAATGAAGAGCGGTGCTAGGGAATTCCTTCGGCGGTGGGGGAAAATTACTTTCGGTTTTAGGAGACCAAAAATCACAAACAGCAGATGGCTGTTTGCTCTCATGGCCAACATCAGTGGGTCCCTTCTGATTAAAAAGAACATTCTTATGATGTAAAGCACCTTGCATATCCTTTTCATCTAATTCATATTCATGTAAAGATTGCACCGTTTCTACTTCTACATCAACCTTTTTGCAATCAAGCTGTTCAATAACAGTCCGAATCAATGCCCAAGTAACCCACCATCGGGGAGGAATTTGAGCGCCTCGGCGATATGCAGTTAAGACATTATTTCAAACGCGTTGCCATCCTTGTTCATTTAAAGTCCCTTCCTCAGGAAACTAAGGATTGTATTCTAAAACAAGCTGGTAACATTCAGTTAACTGATCAAAACGTTAGTGCCGAATTGTTTAAAAAAATGATGCGTAAGTGAAACAAAAGGTATCTTTTTTGCCTGGTGTCCCATTGTCTGCTTACCTCTTTCTGCAGGAATCTTTCTCCGTGTTCAACTCGTCGTGACTTCGAGCCCCACGTTGGGCGCCACTTGTGAAAGGCTCGGCGGAGTAGACTCTGAGAAAAGGACAGGGACAGCCTCTATGGAAGACTGACAAAACTTTACTTCTACAGCGAGTCATTTTATACATGAGAGCAAGGAAATAGCTTACAAAAACCAAGGTTACACAGATGGAGCTTGAGCATGTACAAAGTTGATAACAGCAAGTTTACAAAGTTCATGAGACACATAGACTCTATTTTCTCAAGATCAAAAGACAATCTGCTTTCCCCAAGGCAAGCTTGTTATTCTCAGCACTATTCTCATGCAGTCGTAAAAGCCATAAGTTCCTCCTCCCCCCGGGGCTTGAGCTCCCCGGGGTCATTGTTCCTGCCAGCTGGAGAAGGGAGGCAGTCCTATCTTAACAACTCAAGTCAAGGCCAAGTCTCTGATTGTCTGTGCTGGGGAGTCTCCGTCTTCCCTCCTTTCTTCCCTCCCAGCTCCCTCAGGCCATCCTGAGATGTGTCCATCTTGTAGAAGGAGATGGGGAGGGGCGGTGGGCAGCTGTCTGAAAATAGCTAAAGGGTATGGAGTGTCCGTGGGGTCTTAAGTCCTGGCTTTGACACCTAGGATAAGAGCGTTGCGTTTTGGTCCTCGTGGCTTTCAGATATCCAGTTGGAACCAGATGGACAAGAGTTCATTAGGTGCAAGGTCTGTCGGTGCTCTAAACTTGTGTGATGACCAGCTAGAAGGTGCAGGAAATGTTTCCCAGGGCAAAGCATGGAGACATGCCTGGCGGCCCTGGTCCTTCGCCAGTTCCTTGTGAGGACCTTCTCCTCAAGGCCGTCATGTAGTTTCCCTCAACAACACAGGATAAGGCCAACAAGAAAAGAATACTCACTAGGCAAAATAGAGTACAGATTTGAGCCTGAAGAGGAAAAGAATTCAGCAGAAGCAAAAAATGAAGTAGTCACAGTGATCTGTATAAGCATAGCCTCGTATGATACTTACCAGCCATGCTTCCCTGTATTATGCAATTTAGTGTGGCATGCATGACTGCAGGAAGTCCAGTCTTTTTTGAATTTTACTCCCCAAGAACTGTATATACAAGAAGCCCCAGGCATTCTGATTCACACCCAAATATTTGTCTGTCTAGCTATAATTTTTCCTTCTTAAACCCAAACTCAGTGTACCCCCTTGAGGTCAGAGGATTCCACAGAACAGCCCTGATGTTGTAACACTCCAAAATGTGCTGCTGTTTCTTTGTTGACTGAAATGCCTGGTACACTGCCTTCTGAAACCCGAGCAGACCGAAGGCATGCCCTGACCAGCCCATGCTGTTGTTACCCATGAAGAAGAAATTCATAGGGCCTGGACTCCATCTCAGGCCTGTCCGTGCTGGTCGTGGGCGGCCACCTCTCCAGTGGACTCTGAACTCTGTGCTTAGAGCTTATGGGAGTGACAATGGAAGGATAAGATGCCCTCTGGGCAGGGGAATCTTGAAGATCACATCCAGGTTACTAGGAAACACACCGTAATCACCCCGTCTCCGGACAGGTCATAATTTTTTTTCCATATCTATCGGTATGTAATCACAGGCTTATCGATTATTAACTGGTTGGAACGTGACTACGGGCTTATTGATTATTAACTGTTTGGAATGTAACTGCGGGCTTATTGATTATTAACTGTTTGAACACATAACACGTGAATGATGGGGTTATTGTAGTTGTATTTACCCTTCCTTTGTTTATGTAAGTCTCAAGGAAACTGGGGTGGTGGGTTTGGATACGTACGCATGGGGTATAAAAGATTTTCACAAATGCTCGTCGGGGTCCTTCGCTAAGAGGAGACTCTGCCTTGGGCCCGCCGGTGTAATAAACTGCACTCCACTATCTGCACTGTCCTTCTGAGTGAGTTTGTTTCCCGGAAAGCGTGGCTATAACACCCAGAGACCATCTGCACTGTCACTGCTCTTGCTGACCCTGAACCTCACGGTTGCTGTCTACTGACCCAGGCCAACCCAACACAGTGGCTGTAATTACGCCACAGATCCTAGCCCAGGCGATGGTTGTTCTCTTTGTACAAAGGAGAAATGCACAGTTTGTTGTCATGTAGAATTGAAACTGTACCCTATAGGGTTAACAGAAACTGGCATCTTAAATCCCAAGTGTGTCTTACAGAACAGTAGATAAGCGAATAGGTTTATTAAAACCCTCTCTGTCTGTAACCTCCCTTCACTACTTAGTAAATGAGTTGTTTTCCTTAAACAACTAATTTAGTTGTTGTTTTTCGTAATTGTCTACCCTCCAAGCTTCATGTAGCCCAGATAATATATTACAGGGCTCCTTAACCACCCCTCTAGATAACGTCTCTGACGTATGGGTCACTATGGTAACAGGTGGATTTAAGTTGTTTTCTAGAAACCTAGAGTTGACTCTTACCCAGTTCAAACTGGTCAAGAGTGGTTGGGACCACCAGCCCCCAGACTGGGCCTGCCCAGGTGTCCAGTGAATAACCTTTTGACGTCAGGAGGCTAAAAACTGCACCATTTTTGAACATGTATCCCATGAAGAAGCATGTAACCCAGAAACACCTCTGCAGAACAACGATTATCTCACCTTTCCCCTACCTCCAATCACCTTTCCCCACTCCTAAAACCACCCTGCTTTAAAAATTTATTTTATTTTATTTATTTATTTTTGGCTGTGCTGGGCCTTGGTTGCTCAGCAGGCTTTTCTCTAGTTGAGGCCAGCGGGGGCTACTCCCTAGTTTCTGCCTGCAGGCTGCTCATTGTGGAGGCTTCTCTTGTTGCAGAGCATGGGCTCTAGGGTGCTCAGGCTTCAGAAGCTGCAGCTCCTGGGCCCTAGAACACAGGTCAGTAGTTGTGGCGCACAGGATTAGTAGCTCTGCAGCATGTGGATCTTCTGGAATCAGGGGTCGAACCCGTGTCCCTGTATTGGCAGGTGGATCCTTTACCACTGAGCCACCAGGGGAGCCCGGCCCTGCTTTACTATGCCATAAATATTTTGCCTTCCAGAGGGCAGAGCTGAACCTTGTTCTCCCATCTCCTTGCTTGGTTGCCTCATGAATAAACTTCCTCTGCCATAAATAGTAACTGGATGTGCACCCAATATGACTCGGCCTGACCACCTTCAAATGCTTATCATTCGCATAGGTACTTGCCTGAAATCCATCAGTGTTCAGGCGTCTTGAGTGAAAAATTTTCATGGCCAAGCAGAATCTTTGGAGTTGGTTCTGGGACACAAGTCTGCTTTTTCCCCAGGTTGCTGGCCTCCTGAATAAAGGTAAGCTTCCCTTTTTCAATCAGTGCTTCCCTCTCCAGTACTGGCTTTACAGCAGTGAACACCGGAAGCTGAGTTTGGTAGCAAACATCTTTGTCCAGCTTATGTTGAATAGCCATCTGCTGCTCTTTTCTCTCAGTTTCTCAGCCGCACTCACTCCCATGTTTTTAAGGACAGTTGTGTTCTCCTGCACATATGTCTGTCCTCACCATTTGTCAGATGGGAGCGACCCTGTAAAGTCTGTGAGAATTCTGCTCCCACACCCCCTTCTCACTGGAGACTTATACACCAGACTTTCTAGGTAACTCTTTCCAGCTTCTCTAAGTTTCTTTCCTATCGTCTTCTCCATGTTTTCACCAACCTTTCCCCATACTCCATAAATCTTTCCAACAATAGACAAAGCAGAAAAATTATAAGCAGTTCTTTCCTAAATCCCCAAATAGGTTGAGCACAATTTTCAAGTATTCCATTTTGGTACCAACATTCAAAGTCTTTTGTGAAAATCTTTCATAACTGTGAGGAAGGGGTTCAAAGAGATAGCCTATGATATGGAAAGATAGCAGAACATATTGAAAATACATAGAAAAACTGTCTGGAAACCAAACTATAAATCAAATTGCTAACAGTGCTTATTTATAGAGGAAGAACAGAAATAAAAAAGAAAAATTTATTCTCATGATCCCTCAACATAGGCTCTTCTTATTTGAAGTTTTAACACTTGTTTTAGGGAAACAGATAAGGATTGAACCCAGTCTCCGGCATTGCAGGCAGATTCTTTACTATTTGAGCTACCAGGGAAGCTGTAATAGAAACAGCAAATATATTGGAGTTACAAATATTACAAAGTTCTTTAAGAAAGGCTTCTGGGTACATGTCTCTTGGCACAGAGTTTTGGCACTTTGTTACATTCAGATACTTACACTGATGTATCTAAAAGGTCCTGATCAGGTCCTTCATGGTGCCAATCAACTGATGAGAGGCTGGGAAGGAGAGGCCTAAGGAGCTGCCGTGAGCTAAGAATACATCGCTCCTGGTCCCAACCACAAAGCCATCAAAACTACCAATAAAACATACTCTGGAATGAATGTTGAGATGGTTGTCTCCTTCTGTAGACGCGGTAGGACCTAAGAAGAAGGTAACATAGATGAGATATCCTTGAAATTCTCTCAGTCTTTGAAGAACAGCTAAGTATCTCAGATAATGTGTGTGACAGAGCTTTAAAAGCAAATGGTAGTGGTTTAGTTGCTAAGTCATGTCAAACGCTTGCAACCCCATGGACGGTAGCCTGCCAGGCTCCTCTGTCCATGGGATTCTCCAAACAAGAATACTGGAGTGGGGTACCATTTCCTTCTCCAGAGGATCTTCCCGACCCAGGGATCAAACCCAGGTCTCCTGCATTGCAAGTAGATTCTCTATCAACTTAGCTACAAGAATACAGAACTTTAAAAGCAAAATTCTTGAACAAAGTTATTTGTTAGAATGTATCTAATTTTTGGATTTCCCAGGTGGTTCTAGTGGTAAAGAACCTGCCTGCCAGTGCAGGAGACATGAGGGATGCAGGCTTGACCCCTGGGTTGGGAAGATCCCCTGGAGCAGGGCATGGCAACCTGCTCCAGTATTCTTGCCTGGAGAATCCCATGGACAGAGAAGCCTGGAGGGCTACGGTCCATGGGGTCGCAAAGAGTCGGACATGACTAAAGCAACTTAGCACTCATGCATCTAATTTTTATTAGTGAGGGAATCAGGAATTAAGCAATTAGACGAGAGAGTTGGTTTCCTTGCTTTCACACACACACAAACGTGTATACAGTTAGCAAAAGGAAATGTGGCCAAGTGAGATACAAACCTGGGTAACATTCTACAGGGTAATAAAACCATAGTATCTCCTGGGTTAATTTCTCTAAAGGTTATAAAATCATAACACCTTATCAAATCCTTCAGGGTAACCTCTAACTTTCTAGGGCTATGGCACCATTTGCCCTTTTGTCAGTTGTGGGTGTGGGTCAAATATACCTTGAAAACAAAGCTACTAGCATCAGATGAGGGTAAACCAGGAATGCATGGTTCCCCCCTCCCTCCCTACTGAAGAATCTCCCTCCAGTATTAACTTTGAAAGTTCTCAAAATGTGTCTTTGTAAGGGAGCCAGTATTTTCATGTACCACCATGGCTAGAATTGTGTATAAAATAGGAATAAAGGCTCCAGGAGGCACACC